CCAAAACTACACAGAGAAACCCTGTCTCAAAATCAAAACAAAAACAACAAAAATTTAATTTAAATTTTGTTTAGAGAGATCTGAGGCTGGGACTCAGTGGTGGAGCACTTGCCAAGCAGCACAAAGCCTTGGGTTTGATCCCTAGTACAAAACCAAAATATCCACCCAGCCCCACAAAAGACAGCCCAACCCAGCCATGATCCCAGCATTTACTAATCAAAACTTTCTGATTACAACATCCTTTGAAGGAATAGCCTGTGATCCAACCTTTGGGGCTTCCAACCTTCTATGATTCAACCAATGTGACAAAAGAGGCCTTCCTTACAAGGTCACCCAGCCCAGAAACACAGCAGCACATCTGGGCAGACGCAGAAGGGCCCTGGGTCCGGCTTCAGGGAAAGCTAGAGCTGGGGACTGGGGGCTGGGCAGAGGTGGGTGGCTTGATAATATACTCTGGTCATTTCTGAAAACAAAACAAACAAACAAAAAAAAAAAACCCTGCTTTTCAGCCCAGGGAGCTGTCCCTCCCCAGGCTAGAGTCAGGACTAGGCCCGGACAAGCCTGGGAGGCATAGGGTATAAGCCAGACCTGCCCTCCGGAACTTCCAGCCCAGCCAAGCAACCTGATAGCCTGACAAGCCCTGAACTTGCAGGCAGAAGCATCATGGAGTTCAGAGACCTCCCTAGGGGCAAGAAGATGACATCTGGAGCCAAGCCGCTGACTTGGGAACCGCTCGCTCACCCGGCGGAGCGCGCCCATTGCCAAGTCAGGGAAAACTGAACCACAAGAATGTTCTGGGTAGGACCTAGATGGTGGGAAAGAAAAGGGCCAGGACCAGAAGCAAGGCATCGCAAGTCTCACATCAGGAGGCCAGGTCTACACCGCTCTGGTGTCTCCATGAGTGTACCCCAAAGCTGGACCTCTCTCAAGGGGTCTTCTACCACCCCTTCTCCAAACACTGGTCAGCAGCCTTCCCATTGGGAAAAGAGAGGGAGGGGAGGAACCTGGCCTGCCATCTCATATCCCCACCCACAGAGCCAGGATTCCGGTGATGGGGGGGCTGTTCCTAGCCAGGATGTTCTGGTCCTTTGCAGCAGCAGCTGCTGGGACCCCTCTGGGCTCCTGCCAGCCTCAATAGGACTGCATGAATGAGTAAAGGGGCTGCCTGCTTCCAGTGAGTGACCCCCAGGTGCCAGGCCTGTGTTGAGGGTAGGGTTTGCAGAGATGTCTGGAGCAAAGGGGATGCCTTTGAGAAGCACGCCGGGGCTGTGTACCCCCACACAGTAGGTGCTCAAGTGGTATGGCTCTGAACTGAAACTAACAGAGTAAAAGGTGCCGATGTGGGGCTCAGGGCTTCCTGTGGCCTCCCCCCCCCCCCCGCCCTCCCCAAGCCTGAAGGGTGCACGGGGAGCCAGCTGGCTGTTGCCCATGGGGCTCTCTTGGCCTGTAGTGACTACTGGTTGTGAACACCTCCTGTATTCCCAGGCTGGTCTTCAGCGGCACGTTCTAAAGAGAAAACTTCTATTGGGTTTGGGGGTTCAGAGCAGCATCCATATTAGTGCCTAACAAGAAGGATGGGCAGGGACCAGGGACCGTTTTGCCAGGAGGGATCAGAAAGAGCTTTACAAATGGAGGAAACTGTCCAAGCTGAGGACCCTTAAAGTGGAGGAACTCTAAGGCTGAGGAGCAGGCCCGGGTATCTTGTTTACCCTGTGGCATGGGCTAGTCCAGGACATGTGTCCCCAACAAGCCACTATACACAGTGAATGAGGAACTTTAGGGACCGGTCCAAGGACAGTAGTCTCTGGTGGTCCCAGGTAGCCCAGGTTCCCAGCCACTGGTCCAGCAGGCATGAGGAATGGCCAGGGAATGGTATGGGGGAAGAAGTCTCCAAGGAGCATCCCCTGGTGACTGGCCTGCACAGGTCCCAAAAGCCTGCTCCGGGCCTGTCCCTTCAAAGCACGGAGCCTTCTTTCCTCTTTAAGAGAGCAAAGGTTGTTTATATCCAGGGCAGCGGTGGCTGGAGCGGCTTACCTGCTTCCCGCCACCCGCCGCCGCAGCCGGGCAGGGTGCAGGAAGGAGGATCCCGCACTCGATCTGCGGTACCGCAGAGAGACAGACCGACAGACACTCGCCAGGCGACCGGCCGGGGGGTCGTTGGGGCCCGGAAGCCGCGACCGAGCGAGACTCCAAACTTGGAGAGAGGAGTGACCTGGGGGCCGGGGGCGGAGTCGTGAGCGGGGGAGGAGAGCGCCAGCGCTAGCGCCAGCGCCAGCCAGAGGAGCGCGGCGGCCCAGGAAGCCAGAGCGCCGCCCACCCATCCGGGGCGAAGCGCGCGGGGAAGCAGGCTGGGCCGGGGGCTGCCAGCCTCAACCCCCCACGGCGACCCCTCGACCCCCCCCAGCCCGGACCCAAGATGATGAAGAGGCAGCTGCACCGCATGCGGCAGCTGGCCCACACGGGCAGCCTGGGACGGTGAGTGTCACCCTCTTCTAGCCCCGCTGTCGCCCCGCAGGACCTGAGCGGGCGCAGGAGAGTGGGGAACCCGTCACGGAGGTCGGGGACATCTGGGCAGCGGCCCTCTGGCATGCCAGAGCCCTGACCTCGCTTCCTGGCGTCTGAAGCCCCTGTGGTCGCACAGGCACAGCTGGCCTTTGCGCGGGGGAAGGCACCTCCATTCCTGGTTGGAACGGCTGCAGGGAGCAGAATGCGCCCTGAGCCCGGATGCTGCCCGGAGCCTCATTTGTCCCCTCTGGTCAATGGGAACAGTTAACTATCTCTTAACTGCAGGGCTGGGGAGGAACAGAGCTGATCGGGGGCCCCCAGACCCTGGGGGAAGGGACTAGCAGTGTTCTGGCCTGGGGAGGAGGGGCCTGCTCTGCGCTGTGCTGGGTGTCCGTCCCCTCCCCCAGCCCAGGGGCCTCCTGCTTCTGCTTTTCGCCCGCTCAGGTAGAGGCACCCCCTGGTCTCCTCGGTCCCCAGCTCCAGAACTAGGGGAGCGGAAGTTTGGGGAGTTTCTCGGAGCTTTTCTCTCGGCTCCTCTTCCCCAGCCTGGGAGTTCCCCATTCTTTGGGCCCAGGGAGGGAGTATCCAGAAACTTGATCCAGTCCCACGATAGACAGCATAGACACCTGCGTGCACCTACGAAGCCGGGCCACGTTGCTCTGAACCCTTGTCCCTATGTGTCCCTGGGCAGAGTCCCGGGACCTGCCCACAGCTGCAGCCCAATGTCGTGTGCCTGTGGGCCTGACCACCCCAGAGGCCCGCTTCCACACTTCCCGTTCTGGGGGCCAGCAGAGGCCTCCTCTTTCCGGGGCAGGCAAACAAATTGGGGGCTGGGGAGAAGAGAAACTTTTCCTCTGGGTCCCAAAGCTGAGCCCTGGGTAGCTCACTCCTGCCCTGCCGGTGTCCTGGGTCCACCCTCTCCCAGGGCACACAGCCCTGGGTGGAGGAGGAAGCAGGCATGCATCCTCTAAAACCCATGGAATGTGCTCCAACTGCGGTGGAGACAGGCCACCCAGGCTTGGTGGGTCCTGGAGGCAACTGGGGGTCCAGGTGCCAGATGCAGGGCAAGAGGGAGGCAGTGGGTTTCCTAACCCAGACTGACTCAGCAGAAGCCCCCCCCTCCCCCCACAGCACCCCAGAGACTGCCGAGTTCTTGGGTGAGGACCTGCTGCAGGTACGTGCCTGGGCGGGCTGGGCTGGGCTGGGAGGCAGGTCCGTGCAGGCTGTCCGTATAGAGAAAGGCTGACAGGCGGGGACAGCAGTGGAGGGCCGGGTTGAGTCATTCCCTGATGGCCAGGGGAGCCCCGGGAGGGAAGAGAAAAGCGATTCTTGCTCTGAGGGAGACAATCCACAGTCCCTGCGTGTACCTCCCAGGTGGAGCAGCGCTTGGAGCCTGCCAAGCGAGCCGCTCACAATGTTCACAAGCGGCTGCAGGCCTGTCTACAGGGCCAGAGCGGGGCCGACATGGACAAGCGGGTGGTAAGTGGGGGGTCCCCAGGAGGAGGGCCCTGAGCGGGGAGGGGAGGGTGGGAATGAGGCCCTCTGGTCGGTGGTGAGCTGCAGCTTCTGAAGTTTGCTCCCAACCAGCACACCCTCCGGGCGTCCTAGGTGGGCGGAGCACCATATGAGCTGGATGGAGGATGCTGTCTGTTACCCAACAGGCAGCATTTATTGACTCCCGCCAGACTGTTGCTAAGACGCTGATGCTTTGTCTCCCCAACAGCCCTGGCAAAAGTCTCTTGTACAAGTCGCTTGTGTATAATGGGAAACCAAGGCCTAAATGTACTAACCCACGATCACAGCCAGCAAGTGGCAAAGTGACCCTGCGGTCCCTCTGATTGTAAAATGTAGTGTGTAGTGTTCTCCATAACTCCGGGGGGAAGTATGGGGATGGTTAAAAATTCATGTGGCTGGAGCTGGAGCCTTGGCTCAGCAAAAGCATTTGCTCTTGCAGAGACCTGGGTTGGGTTCCCACCGCCCACAGGGTTCACAACTCTCCAGTCCCATTCCCTGGGACTCTGAAACCCTCTCCAATGCTCGGAAGGCGGCAGGCATGCCTGCCCTCCCCTAGAAGGGCCTGGGTGTGAGGCAATAGGCAGGCTTGGAGAGCTTGAGCTAGGTGGTGACCTGATTAACAACCTATGCCCTCGGGCAGGAGGGAAAGGAGTGAGGGCCATCTCACCCCCAGCCACAAGGCCAGCTCCTCTCTTTGCAATGGTGTGACCTTGGGGCAGCTTCCTGCTCCCTCCCTCTGCATGCCCCTCCCCTAGTCTTTGTGGGATTCATCATCCCTTCTTGCCTAGTCAACCCGGGGTAGGTGGGAGATCTTGTGCATGAGACACAGACAGACACACACACATGCATGCATGCACACATGCACATCATCCAGTTTCCACTTTACCTGTGACTGTGTACTTGATTGGTTGGCTCCTCCCTCTGCTGGGGTGTGGGTGTGGCCAGAAGCTCTGGGCATCTGTTGGGTGGAGGAGGAGGCTGGTAAACTCACCCTCCCTCACCCTGTCCCCGCTGCAGAAGAAGCTTCCTCTCATGGCTCTTTCCACCACGATGGCTGAGAGCTTCAAAGAACTGGACCCCGATTCCAGCATGGGGTGAGCATGGACAGGGGCCTGGCTCGTCACTAGAGAGGATGCCAGGAAGCGAGGAGGGGGTCAGATCAGCCAGAGTGTCTACCTCGAAAGGATGCCCAAGCTGGGAGCAATGTCCAGGTCACCAAGACCCGGGAAAGCAGAGAATGGAGAGGCGGGGACCTTCAAGTATTTCTAGGTGGAGGTGAGGAGCCAGGGGACCCTTCCTTGGCCCATTGTGCTGTCTGTCCACAGGAAGGCCTTGGAGATGAGCTGTGCCATCCAGAACCAGCTGGCCCGAATCTTGGCTGAGTTTGAGATGACCCTGGAGAGAGATGTCCTGCAACCGCTCAGCAGGCTGAGCGAGGTGACCCTGTGCCCCAGCCCCAGCCTCCCTGGCCTCCTGCTCCCCATGTCCCGCCCACCCAGGCCCCTGAACCCTCCTTGTGTCTACCCTCAGGAGGAGCTGCCTGCCATCCTCAAACACAAGAAGAGTCTGCAGAAGCTGGTGTCCGATTGGAACACCCTCAAGAGCAGGTGGGCACCTAGGTCAAACCATAGGAGGGCTCTGCAGGCCCCATTGGGTACTTGTGGCCATGCTGGTCCTCAGGAACACATGTGGTAAAGACATACATATATGTGTGAGGGTGTGCATGTGCTCCCTTGTGCCACGGGTGACCCCAAAACTAGAAAACCACTAGTTTCCAAGATCCTTATATGGTTGTAGGGCTCCTCCCCTGCATTCTGGAGCTGGGTAGCTGTAATCACCAGGAACACCACAAGAGGGAGCCCTACAGCACTTTGGCCTAGTCTGGGCAGAGGCCCAAGGAGTTTCTGTTTTGCCTCTGTAAACCCTAGAGTCCTGTGTGATTACGTGTATGGAGGGGACACTTAGCTCTGGCCATGCAATGGGGCCAGTGACCACCCACCTTGGGACCCTCCCCAGGCTCAGCCAGGCAGCCAAGAACTCAGGGAGCAGCCAAGGCCTGGGTGGCGGCCCAAGCAGTCACAGCCACCTCACCACCGCCAACAAGGTGGAAACACTGAAGGAGGAAGAGGAGGAGCTAAAGAAGAAGGTGGAGCAGTGCAAGGTGAGGTCACGTGGGGTCTCCGTGCAGGTGACAGCTGCGGGTGTCCTGTCCATTTTACAGAGGGGAAACCCGAAGCTCAGAGCAGGGCCCGAGACTGGCCACGGCAGCCCTGAGTTTTGAATCCAGGCAGTCAGGGGTCAGAATCTACGTGGTGGAGCGCCACCCCAGAGGCTCTGCCATCCTTGTCCCGTGCATTAACGGCTGGGACGTCGCCCCTGGGACTCTCAGTGTCTCCTGAGTGAGTGAATGAATGGTGTTTGCTGAATGAATGAATGGATGAATGAATGAATGAATGAATGAATGAATAGCATTTGTTTGACAAATGGGGGTTTGAGAGAATGAATAGCGTTTGCTGGGTGGGTGAATGAATGGGTGAGTGGTTACTGAATGAATGAATGAATGAATGAATGGTGTTCATGAAGCGAGTGAATGAAGGGTGGATGGGAGAGTGAGTGCGTGGTGAATGAGAACACATTGTACTAAGGATCTGAGAACCCAGTGTAAACAACTGGA